TTAAGCCCAGAATGCTGATCGAATTTTGCTGCTCTGATGATTCGAAGCTTAGTACCCCAAGATTTTCCAATGAAGATTGCCACTGCATTAGGGTTACTGAAAAAGAAGATGGTACCACTAACAGCTGTCGGCAACGGCTAGCCTCCCAAGTCCAAGATTTCAGAAATGATTTCAATGACGGCACTTTGATACTTTATGCATCATTGCCTTGTGTTGGAGGTAGCCCATGGGGGAACGTAAATGGCCTTACTGTTGAGGGTCAGGAAAGAATCAAAGAGCAACAAAAACAGTTTACCAAGTTGTTCAAATCTTTTGTCAAACTTGTGGACGAAGTTTATGATGAACGAACCTTGATAGCATTTGAACTGTCCAAGAATTGCAAATATTGGAGATGGCCGATGGTTAGAAAATTCCTCATAGAACGATCCATGACTACTCATCACTTTGATGGTTGTATGTTGGGTGTTCTTGGAAACAACGGTCAACCAATGAAGAAAAGTTGGACTATTGCAGGAAACTTCAAAGAACTCGCAGTGTTAGACTCATTCAAATGTGATGGCAAACATGAGCATGATCAAAGTAGGGGCAAAGCTCTTAAACTTGCTGAGAACTATACCTTCAAGTTGACCGACATGCTCCATGAGTGTTTCCGGGTAGCTGTGGTGGGCCAAACATCCAAAAGGATTTCACCCGCTGTCATTCGAGCCTGTCCTGCTAAAATGGCTGACTCGCGATATGCCACAGCACACCCGGCCAGCCGCGAGGCTGCGCTCGAAGCCACACGTGAGGCTAACAGAGAAGCATGGTTGCTCCCTTCACAATCGCATTTTGTATGCATTGGCCATGCGCAATGAAGGTGAGAATCAGGTTGCTCAGGACCTCGTGGATGGATTGATGACCGAATGGACGCCGGCCTCGGCCCTGAGGTTCTACGGTCGAGAGGATCCGCTTGCAGAATACCTTAGCTTCTGCTTTTTGCCAAAGGAGTCCCACATCGAAAAGATCATGTTGCCAGAGATGCCTGTCAATGAAGTAATCTGGATCTTAGTCTCTGACTCGTCATGTGCATTGATCACAGGGCGTAGGAAAACACTTAAGAAGTTTGACCTGTCCGAGCATTACCGGCAGCGTAAACCTAAGTATGTGACTGAGTTTATCCATGAGATGCTTTGGGGCAAAACTCTGCAGAAGTTGGTCAAACGTGGGATTGAATTGGCCGCGGACGCCCGCGAGCGCTATCCTGATGCCCGCATCACCCTGCATTTGTCCTGGTTCGGAAATGAATTGGTAGGTGAGGATGGGATTGCCCAAAATCCAAATTGGCCATACGACGGCCCCAACGGGCACTGGCCCACGATCCTGGATGATTGTGAGCGCCATTTGACTTGGTTTGTCAATAAGGCCCGGGAGTTGGATTTGCAATCGGCCGGTCTCACGACCGCGCCTTGGTCCGCTGACTATGGCATCCATCCTATCTTTGACCAGTTCTTTGATGCATTGGACCCAAGATTTAAAGCTCTAACCAGCAGCCTGCAAGGGCTTGCCAATCCGAAGTATCCGTGGCTGCGTGCGAAGGGGTACGCCGATGCGATGGAATTCAGAGACCAGTGGCATTTCGCCAACTCTGAAGAAAATCGCACGCGTCTCGCCGCTTATTGGACAGCGACATTGTTCGCTATTGACTGCGGATGGCGGGTTGGCCGAATTGGTTTGGAGCTTGCTCAGTGTGGCCAGGAAACATGGGATGATTTGCGGAGGAACATGAGCGCCGTCCTCGACGAGCTGCCAAGATCCTATCAGGAGACATGTGCAAACATCACCAAGTTGCTTTTTGGAGAGTCCCGACGACACATCACGCCGACGGGCAGGTCATTCACCAAGGAGGACGTTGAAGCTCAACAACCAGACACCGAGGACTACATCGACGTCAAGACGATGCCTTCTGGAACTTTTGCTGAGCCTCCCAAAGATGACCCTCCAAAGGCCGCCGGCGACGGCGAGCCCGCTGAATCCAGCAGAGCAACAATCCTGGTCCAAACGGCTGAGGTCATGTTGAAGTCGCGACCGAAAGCAGCACCAGTCCCATTGGATGAGCCCGCAGATGACAAAAGAGCCACATCCAGCCAGTACCAGCCGCAGGCAACTGCGCGCTTAGAGGAACATGCATCCGGCCACGTGAAAGCATATTGGATGGAAGAGCATTTGCCTGAATACCAATATACAATGGTGACCAATGCAGACGGGGAAGATGTGCCCGGGATCCTCTTTGAAGGTACGGCTTATGAACTGGAACTGCTATCGGCATCCGACGTTGAGACCATTGCTGGCCAGACTCGTGTCGACAAGAAATTCTCCGATTTTGCAACCCGTGTCAACAAAGTTTGCAGGGGGCATGGATCCTGTGCCAAGGTGCCAATGGACAAAGACCTTTGGATTGACTTGGAGGATTTTGCCAAAGCCTTCCGCAAGGAAGTGCCCCCAGATGTTTTCATCACTGTCGCAAACCTGTTTGGCACCGCAATGAAGATCGACAAGCATGGCAAGAGTAGGTTCCAATTCTTGTGTGCAAAGATCTCCCATTTTCCTGTCGACAATGGCCTAGGCATGCCGTATTATCCTGTGAAAATCCGTGCAATTCAGGGTCATTCCCAAGCTACCTTGAGTTCCGCCGGGGGCCTCTATGCCAACTCAACCATGGTGTATTGCTCAAACCAAGTTTCCCCCGAGCGAAAAGCCGCCTTCACCGGCATGCCCTTGTATGCCATGACTGAGGTCCCTGAAGTTGTTTTTCATCGCACGATGAGAAGCAGCTGGAAGAGCATCGCACAGAACGGCCTGATCCCAGGCGGCGGTGACACAGTCAACAGTGGCCGTGCTCATATCTACATGGCAGAACACTGTATCGGCACACAGGGATATCGATCTGGATTAAGAGCAAAATGTCCAGTCGAAGTCAAAATCGCAATGCGGCAAGCAGTTGAAGCTGGTGTCATCTTTAGTCGCACAGAAATGGATGGTATTTTGTGTTCAGAACGCATCCCACCGCAGTTTCTGGTCAGCATCTCAGAAGATGGACAGGTGCTTTGGTCCCGCGCCGAGAGCAATCTCGAGCCCAGCTCATGGACAGGCGCGGAATCAGCCTCAGCACCGAAATCCAGAGCGGTCACCCTGACTGCCCGAGATGATGCAAATGACGACCCAATGGATGACACCAGCACGGGGCGACCCGATGCCAAGTCCACTGATGATGCAGCCACTGCCCCAATGCAAGTTGACCAGCCGCCCGCCAGGGCGCGCCGTGTTTACATTGCACCAAAGTACTGCGAACCTTTCATGGGCTCCTGCCCCCTCTGCCAGGTCGAGTACGTCAGTGGCCAAGTGACATGCACCACATGTGGATATGAGCCACTCCCAGTGGACGAAAGTGGCGAAACAAAAGAGGCCGACAAACCCAACAGGAGGACCCGCATCCTTGAACGGCGAATGCAGAGTCTCGCCGGGTTCGGAATGTTTGGGAAAATGAGCGGCAGCTTGTTGACGGCTTTGACAAATGAGCAAGCCGATCTTCTTCGCCGGGAACTGGGCCCCAGGGGAATCACATCCGTGGAATCAGCAGTCCTCAAAGACTGCCGGGATAGGCATAGACGTGCAAAAGCGCTGGGCTACGAGGACGTGGAAGATCGATTCGCCAGCGACGTCACATTTTGCGACCGCATCCACGGTGAGGGGAAGGGCCTGCAGGAATGTATCTTTGATGATATGTTCGCATACGCTAACCTCCCCGATCCACCCAGGACCAAAGCTCAGATCTCGGCTGGCGTCGCCGCCAATGCCCAAAATGAAAACTGCTTATCAAAGTTGATTTTCATGTCCCAACCTCGAGGTGTGGAAGGGTTCCCAGTTGAGTTCCGAAAAACATGGAAGAAAACCTGGGGTTTCATGTTCGGCCGCCACATTTTTACAGAGGATGAATATGTCAGCTACATCGGCCGTCGTGGCGCATTCCGTGGCCTGCTGACCTGGAAGGGCACCGTCCAAGTTCCTTTTGATGGCACTCTTGAATTCCTCGAAAAGCTGTATGAGGAAAACCTTCCATTGGTTCGGGGCAACCTTGAACGCAAAGAGAAGCAGAGCGCCGCTGCAAAGGCTGGAGGCCCTGGAGGTCAAAAGGCCGACCCCACGGTCGCGCCCACCATTGAGCGAAAGCGCAAAGCCGAAGCTGATGCATCCGCCACTGCAAATGATGACACAGCCGCCTCAAGCTCTGCTCGCGCAGACGCCTCGCACGCTGATGCCTCAGTTGATCCCAACAATGCACCATTCCTTGCACCCGAACCACCAACATCCAAAGCAGGAGCACGACCATTCTTGGAGCCTGAGACGCCGCCCACTGCAAAAGCAGCAAGCACAGTCACATCGAAGGCTGCAAGCTCCGGTCGCCCGGATGCCTCTTGGAGTTGGAATCGTGATCACTATGGTGCACGTCGAGAATGGAGTTTCTGGCGTGGGGCTTGGTATTACCGTGACGAGGCCGGCGGCCGTTGGATCTATTGGAACCGCAGGTAGACGATGATTTTCTTTTGTAGCATAGCGCAAGATGTGGCATGGTAATGTGCCTTCCTTGCATAGCTGCGCTGGGTTTTACGGGCTTGAGCTTTTTAGAGGGACCTTTGAAAGACCGCACAAAATGTTCAAAACCAAATAAACAGATTTGGCTACCCGCGAGGGTATGCTCTTTTGGGTTATTCGTTCTCCGCAGTCGTCCCTGCTCGCCCGAGGGGGGTGTAAAAACTCCTGCAGTAAAACCATGCATCGTACATATCATCGTACTACTCTGTAGCGTTGGTTCAAAACAGTGCCAAGTGCTTAGCGGCTTGTAGGTCACCCCATTGGTAATATACCACATTGTTGGCTGACCTTGTAAAATACAGATTTATGGGGATTTACCTTATTATCTCCATAAATCTCCATAAAATGGTGATAAAAATCCACTACCCGAGGCCTGCTGTTGGCCGCCCCCCTGTTGTCGAAGCCCACGCGGCGTTCCCCGACGCTGCTGAGCTGTGGCCATAGCGGAGACGTGCAGAAGCTGCCGGGGCAGGCCGCGGGGCCCATGGCTTTACCGAAGATCGAGGGAAAGCAGGTGGGGATAGGGGGATGAGAAGAATTTTCATGGGATTATGTTACATTCATATATATATATATATTATCAATTATATGTATATGTGTGATGGGTTATAGGGTTATAATGAATATAAAATGGGGAAATGAATAGATATGTGCCAATGTGCCAATATCTGTTTGGGGATCCCTTGGTCTTCACATCAAAATCACAGCAAAGTTTAAAATTAAGGATGTTCATCGTCCCACAAGTTGATATTACAGGTTTGATCTGTCGGCATGTGAATGATGATGAATGGTTTGGGGTTGATGGTCTGTGGTTGATGTGGTGATATTTTCGCGGTTTGGGCCAGTGCCAAAGCTATTTGAGGGAACCAACCGGGATGTGTCAGAAATTACAGAAACGGAAAGTTGGATTTCAATTATTACGAAAGCCAGCTAGCTGGCTAGTTGCTGTTTGCGAACGAAGTGAGAATAGGGGGTGTGGGGGGGGGTGGTTGCCGAAAGGGAACGAAATCTCGCCGTGCCCCTGTGTTGAGCGCCAGAAAACGGAGCATTTTGCTGGATTAAGTACCACTAGGCAATTTGCTGACGGTGGGGTATCGATTCCCCCTAGGTCCGCCTTTTTGGTGGCCGGAAAGACCATGAGGATGTATTGGAAATACAATGAAACTGCAGGAGACCATGATAACGATCAGAGGAAATCGTACAAAATCCCCTGGAAAACGGACGAAAACGGAGCGAATGCGAGGAACAAACCATGGAAAATCCCTTGGAAAATGGAGGAAACCGGAGCGAATGCTAGGCGCAAACCATGACGATGCAGTAAACATGCTGGAAAAATACAGTGAAAGTGCAGGAAAATGTGATAACAACGAGAGGAAATGGTGCAAAAAGGATCGGAAAATGAAGGAGACAGGTAAAACTCTTGGATTAATATTAATATTGAAAAGGTATGAAAATGCAGGAAACCAGAGGAAATGGTGCAAAAACCTATGGAGGAAAGAGTTGAAAATGATAGGAAACATGTAGTAAAAAATGCT